CCAGGAAGCCGGGCTTGTAGGGAGTCTGAAAGCGGCTGATGCGGCGAAGCAGTGATCCGTAGTCCTGTCGCGCAAGGTGAGCGTGCCCGACATATATTATTTTTGCAACGCAAAAACGCGGGAGACATTTCAGCTCTTCGATCTTGGGGACTTCTGGGAGGCGGCAGCAGGCCTCCGCCAGTTCAATTGCATAGCGTCACGACGAATAAATATTCGAAAGGTGTGCACAATGATGATGTGCGACTACTGATTGGGCAATTTATGATCGGAGTTTTGCATTGCTTTCAATTTCTGGCACAGAGAAGAAGCGAAATTTTTCGTTCAGATAGAAGATAGATGAGCGCGTCTGCGTACCCTTCCAAACTCGTCAATGTCCCATTCAAACCCTTCTCCATCCGTCATCATGTGCTTGAAGCACATGATGACGGATGGAGAAGGGTTGTTCCCACCCGCATGATCATGATCCAGCACAGTGCACACTGTACGCTGAGAGAGAGATACTCTCTTTCTCTGTACTTTTGATTCTCCACATCACAAGTTGGGGAATAACAAGTTGAGATTGAACTAAGGCAGCGGTGTGACCAACAACCTAAAAAATCACCAGTCCCTCCTGAGCGTGTGTCGACCTTCAGCAACGCCTCGGTTACGTGGAAAGGGCGAGCGTAATCTCGAGCCATACAATCTTCGGGGTACCTGGCAACCTGGCTCCGTAGGCGCATATGCAGCTGAGGACCTGCGAGCAAACCCTTTCGACAGGAGAGGCCTCAACGCTTTGCCACTTACGGTCTATACCCAGTCTGCCCTGCCCTGCTGCATGTCATGTATGAACAGCTACGACTACAGAAATACATATCTCTTTCCCTCCCTCAGCTATCCTTCTCAGATCCACTTCTGAGGTGCCCTAGTCCAACGCCGAGTTAGCACGCATGAGACAGTCTTCATCGCCTTGTAGCCGTTACCGCAGATAGCCCTTGTCTCCGAGGCGCTCACATGTAAGGAGGCAGGCGTACTTTAGTTCCCAGATAGTCGCTTTTTCGCACACTTTCTCCACCTTTTCATTGTCGAGCACGCCCATGACGTCCTGTAGGATGCTTGAATCATCTGGCACCCCAATCTCAGCAAGTGCCCACACGGCCACTTCATCCATATAAGGGTCTCCGTCGTGTAGGCATTCAGAGAGTAACTTTTCAACCTCTTTCTGCGTACACGCTCCATTGTGTCTTCCGAGCGTCTCAACAGCCTTTCGTCGAGAAACGCAATCCTCAAGAAGATACTGATCCGTTTTTGTTTTGTTGAATTTCCTGACAAACCGAATGATCGCATCCACTGCTTTCCCCGATGCGAAAAACTTGAGCCTTTCAGCCGCAATAAACAGGAACTCACTAGCATCTAGGGAATCCAGGTCGCTCACAAAAGCTGAATCGCCTTATCTTCATCCATGCATGTGAAAAAGATATCTCTCCTGGCATTTGTTGCAAAGGTATCTTCAGTGGACGTATTGACGGCCTTTGCGTCGACAGGTTGGCCCGGAAGCTGTGCTGAGGGAGTGCTCCGGCGGTTCCATCGCGGGCGTAAAGGGCGATGCGTAGCACGTCCATCTGGATGACGAGAAAACAGAAAGAATCGGTTCGTAGGTAAAGAGGGTGCGACAAACATGAGCATATTGGAATGACGGGATACACACGGCAGCCCTTCTCATTTTTTGTTCTGTTGCGTCGGAGGTCCCGGTCCTCTCAGGTGGATTCGAACTTTGAATTCCGAATCGAATTTAGGTTCGGATCAGTACTGGGCCACCGGCACCGGACCGTCTGAATGGGTCCGGATTGCGGACCTATGGGACCTACTATAAGCCGGCTCAGTCCGCTATCCGTGTCTCATGAATATCCCTGCCGCGGATACTCAGAGCGCTTGAAGCCTTGCATGCATCTTTTGAAGCATGCCATGAAGGAGCTTCAAGGCTAATGGACAAGGCAAAACGGCACGGAGATAGGTCATAAAGGTAAAATTGATCTAAAGTTGGATCCGTTTTGTTTAGGGCTCCAAGGAAGGCAAAAATGGTCATTTCATCATTTTGCAGCATTTACTCACAGTTTATGCGCGCCAATTCGCGAATAATCATGATTTAATGGAATCGTTAGTAGAAATCGATAGATTGACCGCCATCAACCGCGAGATGGCCTCGAGATGCCTCTCTCGATGCGGCGTCACACGCTTCTGGCGATCCGTAGACAGGTACGTGGCCAAGATTTAGCGGAGAGAAGAAAAAAGCAGCCGAAATGATCCGCAAGAAGCATTCTGTCCGCCATGATGCAGACATTTGTGGGATTTCAAAAGGAACTGCAGGACGCATTGCAACTAGTATTAACGCAAAAGACCACCAGTCCCTTGCAAAGCTGCTTGACCCTGCTATCAATCGGCCTCGTAAAAAGACAGTATGGAACTTGAGGAGGCTGTAATGCTCAACGATAAAATAAAAAGTGCCGCTTTGCATGGGTTTTCGATCGACAAGAACACAATGAAAGCCACTTTACAAAAATTGGCAGCTGATGGTAGGCCTGGATACAAGAACTCCACTCCCTCGGATGCTGCAATACGTACATATAGAGCCCTGAATCGTGATATGATCTATCGCAAAGCAGAAAACAAAGATGCTGCAAAGCTTGGTGCGGAAAATTTGGAACATGTCAACACTTTTGCCAAATGTATGGCTGATGTCGAAGGAAGGCATCCCGGAATTTTTAACGACCTGAAAAGACTATGGAATATGGACGAAACGCACGTAGACGGGGAGTTCGGTCGTCGCATAAAGACCTTCACTAACGCAGGTTCTCACCACGGTGGATTTTAAGTCGGAGCAAAGGGGTTCCGGAAAACACGTCACGGCGGTGCTCGCAGCTTCTGTCAGTAGACATATGGCACCACTTTTCTGCAATGCCGCGGGGAAATATATAATGAAAGATTGGATCAAACCGCTACCGCGAACCTTTTTTAAATATGGTAATGGGGCTCCACACTTGCTCGCAGAATCGGGGTGGTTGCCGAGCGAATTTGTGCTTTGGTGCACTCAAAATGGATCTATCGAGAAGCAGACGCTTCCAATGTTTATCGAGCATTTTGATAAATATTTGGGGCAGATCTTCCATCGAGACGTAGCAGTAGCGCTCTTTCCTGATGGACACTCCTCTCGCAATGGACTCGAATGGGTGGAGGAGGCCACATTGATGTGCTTGTGTTGCCAGCGAACACCACCCATTTCTTGCAGCCTTGTGACGACGAAATAAACAAAATGTTCCAAAGGGCAGTGAGAAAAACCAGGGATGATCTCATGGGAATGGCCGCCATTATTTTGCACGCGACTGGATTCAAGATAAAACTGGCGGTCGCTGGACACGCAGAAATGACTTCTCAGAACGTATGCGATTCATTTATTAACAGTGGCATGTGGCCTGTAGATTATCGTTTCGCAAACAGAATGAGGAACGAAAAGGGGAAGTACAGAAAGTCGAAGAGCAGGTCCAGGGCATTACTAATGGAGGACCGGCAAATTGGTTGAACAGCTTCTGCCTTCGTCGCAGCGATGCGCGAACGTTTGAAGACATCAAGCGGATTGTAGGGAATGCGTCGCGGCCCAGTGCTTCCATTGAAGCGATATCGAGGGTTCTCAGAGAGAACCAAACAGTGAGTTCTATACCGCGGGGAATAAAGCCTGTGCCTACTGTGAGTGGGGCTAAGAGCACAAAGAAGGTTCTTGGATGTAGGACACGCGCTGCTTGCTTGACAGTTGGGAACCTCGTTCAGATTAGAAAGAAGAAGGAGGAGGCAGCACGGGCGGCGACAAAAAATAAAGAGCTGCAGAAGGAGTAGCGCGCAAGGCAGAAGGTGTTGGATCAGAAAAAGCGAGTGCTTGCTCGCTTGGCAAGGGAGGAACTCAAAAAAGCGAACGATGGAGAAAGCAGGGAGGAGTGCTGAGAAGGGTCTGGTAAAGCGCGCAAAGGTTGCAAAGCAAGGCGCTGGCAGTATACTTGGCATTGATTCAGCTACGCGCAGTCCGCCGACAGGAAGTGATGGCGAGGCGGCGTTGCTGTTGATGAATATGGCGAGTTCTACGTGAAATTGGGGATCTCCGCGCTGTCCCAATTTGAACCCTTTTTTGTTGTAAACGATCCGAGTAGGTCGGCGATTATGAGTCGCCATACAGTCACTCGTGGTTCTCCAATCATCTTCTTTAGGCGTGGACTTGATTGAACACGTTAGAACGCTGTCATCCGTGTCCGTTGTTGACCAGTGGGATTCGTAACTGGAGTGAACTTTGGGGTCCAGTTGAAATCCGTCCCAAATATAGCCCCCGGGAAGGGTAGTCGGTCTGAGGAGCCCCAAAGAGCCTGATGTACATGTTGAAGCCCTTAAGCTGCATTCTCCATCGACTAATAGGGGAATTGTCCAGTTTGTGCAGATCGCATTGTGCTGATAGCAAAAGGGCTTGATTGTCAGGCAGACAGAAGCTCTAACGTAGACCACGCTGCTGATGGCATTCTGCCTGATGGTAGACTAATGTGGTTCAGACGCGAGCTCTCGACCCCATCGTGCAAATTTCCATGAATTGATCTTGCTGCTGATAGGTGAAAATTTTTATTGTAATGTGTACAAGGTATAGCTGTTGGCATGATTTGGTAAACCGCTCACAAAGTCACCCCTGGAGGTTGCCGCGCTGGACTTTCATGAGAGAAAGTTGATGTACTTTTCGACTATCGATCGCCCGATCATGGATGATGCCGTCATCAAGAACCGTTTCGTTTCATGAGTTTGCGGTTTGTACCGACTGCAACGATGCTCGGCGCGGTGGTGGAACGCTTAGCCAATTAGCCAATTGTTGTGCCGTGTCTAGGGTGATGGTTGTGCTCTTGACGTCGACCTTGTAGGTAGAGGAACGAACCCACTTCAAAGGAAACGCCAACCGAGTTAAAGCCCTGAATGGGTGAGGTGCTTCAAGGGTGCGGGGCATGTCGACGTCACCAGCATATCTCGCAGACCATGAGCCATTCACAATCACGAGTGGAAGAATGAAGGGTCAGGCAAGACGCTCATAGAACGAGGAATCAATCATACTGTACATCACTTTGCCCATAAAAAAACGACGAGATATTTCGGTCGCCACATAGAGTGCTGCAATTTCCGAGAGCACACAACGCTGCCTCTCTGTAATTCGGCAAGTAGTTTGAGCTTCAAGGTCACTTCCTCCGCAGTCGCAGACTGCGCCAAGAACCTTACAACCCAAAAAACCTGCCCAGGCCGCCCTCAACTTTGTTGTTTGTCGAACAAACCGCAGGACTTTCGAAGGGCGCACTGCTGTAACGTCTCCCAACCTGGTTTACGTGATGTCACTGTTTTTTGTACACTCCTCTGCCCTGAGACTTTCGCACAAGCGCAGTAGCCCACTTACCTGTCGCCGAACATCGCCTTACGCGAATATCAATCAAACAAGCGACTCAGCACGGGAGGACGAGATTGCCGCCAAGATTGCCAACCTACGTAAGCAAAAACGTCTCAAGTCGCAAGGCAGCAGTTCTACCGGGAATCAAGATGAGGCGAACACTCAACGACGTAATGTGGGAACGCCGATGTCCTTCCAGGATTTACCCGACTGGAAGAAGGAGGATATCATGCAAAATCAAATATCCGAGGCCGAGGCTTTTTTAAACCCTTCTGCGCACAAGCCACATGTCAAACCGGGTACAGACAAAGTCAAGTACAAACCCAAAGTTTCAACTTGGGGCGTCTTTCCCCGTCCAGACAACATCTCCAAAGCGTTTGGCGGAGGCAAAAAAGTGCAGCCTGGTGGGGTTGACTTATCATCAGAGGGTTCTAAGAAGCGGGACGAGGCGGTGAAGGAGAAATTGGCTATGTATCGAAAAACAAGGGGCATCGACCTCGAGCGAGAGGAAGAACATCGAGAGGAAATCGAGACAGCATTAGCCAAAGGGGAAGGTTTTATAAGGATGTCGAGACCACAACAGGCGATCAAGGCGTTGGAACCGGTGGTTGAATACATCTGCGACCGGTCGCGACTCGGCGGGGCAGTGTTCCTGTCTCTAGCACTGGCGCACGATAGCCTGGGAGAACGCGAAAAGGCAAAGGAGCTGTATCAAAGGTTACGGCGCAACCCGTTTCCGGAAATCTCGGGAAAGGCCAAACAGCTATTGCAAGGATTTGATGCGATGAACAAGCTTAAAATAGAGGACGAGACGAGCCGGCAAGGGCTGCGGGTGACGAAATTCCGCGTGCCGGACGTGAGCGTGGGCGAGGAGCGGCGGTACGAGACGGCAGTGGGTGCGGGACCAACAAAATCTGACCCGATCGACATAGGCACAAGCCTGTTACTCTTGGCGCTTATCGCGGGACCGATCGCATTTGTGCTACTAGTGCTCGGCCCCGCGAGCCGGTAAGATGTGGAAGGCCTTGGGTAACAGGTTGCGGTTTGCGGCGGCCAATTAAGACGAGAAAGCGGGCAAATAGGGCGTCAACCGTTTGCTCAAAGGACTTGATGGACTCCTTGAGTGTGATGGAACGGTCGTCGCGGCCAAAGCGGCGGCCAAAGCCCTGGCCGTAGCCGACGCCGATGCCGACGGCGATGGCGGGGCCGCAGAGGGCGCGCGGGGGACCGTAGGCGTTACGGACTGGCCAACCGAAGCCGCAGCCGATGCCAATGCCGGCGCCTAGGCCAATACCGAGAGGGGGCAAGACGTTTGTTGCGCGGCGAAACTTGCGGGCGCCGCGGACTAAGGCACCGGGAAGGCCCGGGAGATCCGGTGCGGGTTTTTCAGGTTTTTCAGGTTGGTCTTTCGTTCTGGAGAAGAAAGGCATAGTGAATCGCCCGATTTCTTCCTAAGGAAGACGCAGCTCGTTGGTATTGACAACTTGCCGGTACCAGCCGTGGGTTTAGAAGGATGTTCGGGGTTGCGGAGGTGCAGAGATCGAGTCATGTGAGATCGAGTTTCAAACTCAGCAGTCGAAAAATTAAATTTATTTCATTACCTAGCGGCTGTGGAGTTGCTTGCACTTAACTGTACATTTGCCAACAACAGCCCTCGCTTGCTAACTCGGGCTGCACCCGTTGTGCTCGTTACTCTGAAAAAGAGGCAAAGTCGCGCAAACACCAACTTGTGCCTCCAAGAAATAAAGGTACTGCAACAGCGGTACTCATCCAGCAAGCCGCTCTCGCTCAGCTCGTTTCTTCAACACCCGGCGCATTGGGCTCGCCTCCAGACGGTCATGCGGCATCAGATCCGCCATCGCCCGCCAGTAGATCTCCGGTGATACCAATCCGATATTCGTAACCGCTGACGTATACAAGCACGCGTAGTCTTCGACTTGCTCAGCAAAACGCGAGTTTTGTAGCCCAGTCTTAAACAACTGACCCCAGACGCTATGGAAACGCTTGTGGTACATCTCTACCTGAACGATCAGCTCTGCCCGCATGGCTTCCAGCTTGTCTCGAGCCTCCTCCAGCTCTGCTTTCACTACTTTGCGCTTCCCCACTGGTAACGAGTCGGACGAGACCAACAGACCTTCCAGCCGGTCTACCCATTCGTCCACTGCGTCGCGTTCGTCGCGAAGCTCATCGATGTTTGCCTTGAGCTGCATCGTATCCTGATCGTGCATTGTGTTGATTTCGTGCTCCAACTCTGGCACAATCAACATTGTCCGCCATCCAAGCGTACGCTTGCTCCTCAGCACATCCGAAAAGATATGGTCACCCACGTACAAAAGATGTGTCCCGCTTTGCACCCCGACCAAGTCATGCAAATGACTATAGTTACCACCCTGGAAACATTTGCCTTCAGCCAGATATTCTTCCGCTGTTTGTTCGTAAACGCCCTCTGTGTTCGACAAACCTCCAGAATCGGGGTCTACGCGGTACAGCGACAGCTTATTGTTAAGCAAAAACGCCGGTTTGCACGATCCCGTAATGATGACATCAAACAAATCAATCCACCTTCCCTCCTTCTCCAGCCCGTACAGATAATTCATTACTACATCCGTATAATTCCATAGCGAATTGGTCAACAGAAACACCTTTCTCCCCGAGCGCTTCAATTGCCTTAGCATATGGACCATCTGCGGATCCCTCTGTATGTATTTTTCCGGGTTTTCCTTGACACGGTCCTTAATCGAGCCATCGCGATGGCACATGTCAACGCTTGTGCGTACGTCTTTGTAAATCTGGGAGTAAGACTGGTTAATTTCGCCCGGGTTGGCATCCTTGTACGCCACGACACTGCTAAACAAATAGGCGTCCGGCAGAGCAAACATGGCGTCCAGGACGGCGAAACGCGGCTCGCCGAAGCCGCCGCCAGACGTGGTGAGGGAGTCGTACATGGAAGCGCGATCCTCTTTGGACAGGGTGCTAAACCCGTGCATGGCACGCTTGACGTACTTGTGCCTATCCAGCTTAATGATGTTGCCAAATTCTTTATCGACAACCAAGCCGCGGATAAAGTAGGAATGGTCATACTGTATTCTCAACAAGGGCTCCGGGTAACCTAGCTTGTAAACAAGCTTCTCTAGAGACTGTGCGGCGGAAAGCGACTCAAACTGTTCCGAGTAGTACTCTGCCAGGGTGTAATCCATGTCAAAGCCGACTGCCTTGATGCGGGACATGTTGAGGGCGCGGTTGCACAGAATTTCGCCACGGTATGGGCGGGTTGGCAAACCATTTTTCGGCGGTGGGGTACCGTTGCTGAAGGCGCGGCAGGTGGGGGTGTGCGGGGGCATTGTTGAGGGGTGCGGGCGACGGGCGAGGTGAGAGGTGCGTGCAGGCAGGGTGGAAGAGGAATGCTTCTGAAATAGGGCAGGGGAGAGGAAAGCTGGCAGGCGACGGAGGGCCATAGTGGAGGGCGTAGGGGTGGCGGACTTGACTTTGTGAGAGGGTTTGTCCAGAAGCGTCGATGCGTTGCTGCAGAGGGCAGGAGAGTAACGAAAGGGGTAATGCGTTGGAGGCTGAGGGGAAGGAGGGAGACAAGAGTACACGCGTCTGCCCAAGACTCGGGTTCAGATGCTGTCAAAGACGTACCTGTAGCCTTGGTACTGTATCTACCCTTGGTAACCAATTTTACGCATCGCACGTAGCACACTCGAGCGATTCCCCTCACTCTGTGGAGCACTCCCTGTGGAGCCCTCCCTGTGGAGCCCTCCCTGTGGAGCCCTCCCTGTGGAGCTACACGTGTGTACCGACTAAACTGTAAGCCCAGCCATTACAGAACGCAAAGTGGATCCAAATCCATTTTGGATCTAGATCAAAGCACCTCATTCCCGTTCCGTCGTCGCCGACCCTATCCTCCTGTGCTGTGAGCACGCCCCCCCATCCGCCCCTCTTTCGCCCAGTCGCCCAGGCCCTTCTTCCTCCTCACCACCCCTCACCCTGCCCATCTCACCGCCTCGATTCCATCACACCACCCTTTCCCCCCACAATGGTACGTCCGCCGCTCTCTGTCCCCACGCTCTCCGCATCCACGCGCACTTTTCACGTCTAACCTCCGCCACCCCCACCCTGCAGGATCAGCCCGTCAAGCTCGGCAAAGTCTCCAAGATCATCGGCCGCACCGGCTCGCGCGGTGGAATTACACAAGTCCGCGTCGAGTTCCTCGACGACGCCAACCGCTCCATCATCCGTAACGTCAAGGGGCCCGTCCGCGAGGGTGACCTTCTCGCCCTCCTCGAGTCGGAGCGCGAAGCCAGGCGCTTCCGGTAACTTGCCTCCTCCGCCAGCAGTTGCGATCCCGACCACCGCCGATGCGTTTGATTTGAGCTCGTGCGTGATAGGCACAGAGTATTTTGGCTTGTCGTGCCGGGTTGCTAGTAAATTGCCCTCCCGTTATGGGTCTTTTCGCTTGCTTCTCTTTTGCATCCCCTGAGCAGTAAAAGTCGCCTTCCCACCTTCATGTTCACTATTACATCTGCGTTGTCCATCCAACTTCGCCTTATCCCCTTGCGTCTCACTTGCGCTTCACTTGCGCCTCCCTTGCGTCTGCCTTTCGTTTTGTTGCCGTAGTCGTCTGACGCTGTCCAACTCGCCACGCGTCGTACGAAAGAACGCATATGGGCCCAAATTAAAAATTCCGCCGCAACGATCCCGTCCCCACATGAAGTAGGATCCCCGTCAAACGCATCCTCTTCATCGCCGTCCCACCTTCCCAACTTTCACCTTTCAAACTCCTCAAGCTCGGTCGATCCTGCTGCTCGACCATCACTCATGCTATCGAGATGCACACCTTCCCACCCTGCACATCTCTCCCTGCCTGGCAAATCCCCCAATTTCTCCCATCTCGCTCATCCCGGCACACAGTCCCACATACATTTCCCAAACGACCATGCTATCGCATCTCAACACACCCGCAAGGTCTACCATGCCGCTCAAAACCACCCCCACGCTGTGCCATGACTTCCCCCTCAACTGACGCGTCGCCCAAACCGTCTCCACCGCCCCCCAAAAGATCCATCGCCTCCCATTTAACAACCGCGACAGTCGACCCCAACCTCCTCTCTCCTATGATGCACCACTACGTCCAAACAAAGCGAAAAATCTGTCGCGACCTCGCATGTGCCTCTGATCGCAAGCTCCTGCTCATGTACCGCGTCGGCGACTTTTTCGAGAGCTTTTTCGAAGACGCCGCTCTTCTCTCCGCCGTTTGCGACCTCGCTCTCACCTCCAAGGAGGCCGGAAAAGCCCTTGGCGCCAGAGTGCCCATGGCGGGACTCCCGCACTATGCCATCGATGACAAAATAAAAATGCTCTTGCATCACCGCGTCACGGTTGCTGTCGTCGATCAGGTCCAATCGGCCGCAGAGACAGCAGCAGGCTCCCTCGTTAAGAGGGCCGTCACCCGCCTTATTACGCCCGCTACGGCGGCCGACGATCACCTGCTAGATGCGAAGAGGAGCTCGTACCTCGCAACCGTCGTTGTGCAGGGACCGGCAGGTAGTGGTGAAAAGCGAGAAGGGGAGGTGTTTGAAGAATGGTATTTGAACGGTATGCGGTTTGGATTTTCGTATGCGGACGTCTCCACGGGGGAGTTTAGGGTCACAGATGGGGAGGGCATTAACACTTTACAGAGAGTACTTGCCACGGTTGTACCGGCTGAGTTGTTGCTTGTGTCGAACCCGAAACTGAAGTGGTTGCGCGATAAGTTTTCAAATGAATCTGAATTCAGGGGAAGTGCTATCGTCACGCATCGGGATCCGCACGACTTGGCCACTGCAGAGGGGATACTGAACAGCTTCTACGCAGTACAGAATGTTGAATCCCTTGGTTGCAGAGGGAGGCCGTTATGTATCCAAGCCGCCGCGTCTTTGCTCTCTTATACGCAGCAAACACTGCAGGTGGACAGCGAGCAAGAGCGACCTCTGCCGCTGAATCCGTTGAAAACGTTTGCACTCGATGATGTGATGCTGTTAGATGCAACCTGTTTACAGAACATGGAAGTGGTTCGAACCGCCCGAGATGGAGACCGGGAACGAACGTTGCAATGGGCGGTGGACAGAACAGTGACAGTGATGGGAGCGAGATGCCTCAGAACCTGGTTGTTGGCACCGTCCACGCGACTGGATGTGATTCAGAGACGTCAGAATTTTGTTGCGGCCTTCCTGCACGATCTTCGGAATCGACGAACGCTTGTGCAGGCAGAGCTAAAAAAAGTGGGTGACATAGAACGTCTGGGTGGTAAGGTCGGCGCCGGGCGTGCATCCCCTCGCGATTTGCGATGGTTGTGTGAATCGATTCTACGTGTACCGGCTATTTTGAAGATGACGAAAGCTTGTTTGCAAGAGAATCCCGTTGCTAACCAAAACCACTTCAGCATAGAACCATTGACAGAGGCAGTGGACACCCAGCTTTTTCACTTGGCTGAGAAAATAAGTCTTGGCCTTGTTGATCCGGCACCATCCTCCACGCCTTCGGAGATGATGATTCGAGCGGTCGCCTTTCAAAAGGACAAGTTGAGTCTGGCAAGTATGCGAATTTTTCGTGCCGGGTATTCGGAGGACCTTGACAATCTCAGGAAAGCAATGGAGGAACCAGAAAGGTGGATTACAGTTCTCGAAGAGCAAGAACAAAAAAGAAGCGGCATCGACAGCCTCCGCATAAAACACATCAAGAACGCTGGGTATGTTTTGCGGATTCCACGTTCGGTGGGGGAGAGAACGATGGACAAGGATCCATTGTTCTTTCAAAAGTTACGATATGAGTGTGTTCAGAGCACGAAAGCAGAATTGCGATTCCGTTTCGAAGAGCTCAAGACACGTGAAAGCCTTCACAACAGCGACCTATCTGAAATTCTATCGCTTGAAGCTCTCTTGTTTAATGAACTGCGAAACAAGCTTGCTGAACACGTGCCTCGCTTGCGCGTTATTGCGCGTCATATTGCGTCCATTGATGTCCTTGCGGGTTTTGCGCAGGTCGCGGAGGAACTCAACTATGTCATGCCGCAGATGCTCGACAAGGAAGAGCGAATTCTTCACCTAGATGATGCGCGACATCCAGTCGTTGAACAAACGCTGCCCGTTGACAAGACGTTCGTACCAAATAGTTTTCAGCTAGGAGCCAAGAAGGGCCGGTCGTGCCCCGACTTGATGTTGCTGTGCGGTCCAAATGCTGCTGGAAAGAGCTGTGCTCTGAGAAGCGTAGGGCTCATTTGCATTTTAGGGCAGACTGGTTGTTTCGTTCCCGCAAGGTCTGCGAAAATAAGCATTTGTGACAGGATCTTTACAAGGGTCGGGGCTGTAGATGACATTGCACGTGGGCAAAGCACGTTTCAGGTAGAGATGGCGGAAACAGCGTCTATACTGGCTCAATTGACATCGTCCAGTCTTGTGCTTCTCGACGAAATTGGCCGAGGCACCAGTGCCGTGGATGGAATTTCAATTGCTTGGAGTGTATCGGAACATCTTACCAAAGGATGTGTGACAGAGGGAAGGGCAAGCTCTGCTCCGAAGTCAATCTTTGTGACGCATTATCATGAGCTCAACCAGCTTGCCTCATTGCATCCGAACATCCACTCATTCCGTCTCGAGGTTGCTAAACGTAACCTTTCCAAAAACGACGGAAATCGTGACAGAGTGGAGTGGATTGCCACGCACAGAATTATCCCTGGGGCATCCTTCGAGTCCCACGGATTGGCAGTCGCTCGGCGGGCAGGATTTCCGCGAGAAGTGTTGGAGCGAGCAGAAGAAATTGCCAAGCTCCTCAAAGCACCATCCCACGCTCTTGGGGCCGAGCTTCGGAAAGCACTATCAGAGAGTTCCAATTCGAATAACTGTGGTGCAACCCATGTCGTGGCGGGTGACGATGAGAACGACGAAAAGGAAACAGAAACGGAGATGACCAATGCATTGGAGCAAGGGGTTTCGATGTATCAAAAGGGATTCGAAGACGGATATGAAAGTGCTAAGGCAGAACTGTATGCTGATATTCAAAAGGCAATAGTAAATCTACAGCCGCGCCTTGACGTGAGGGACTGAAAGCTGACTGTATACTGTATTGGGAAGCACGATTTGAACGACACTGAAACACATTAGTTGGTCTTCAACCTAGAAGACTGTCTATATGTTTCCATGCATCCCAAATGAGTGATGTGCAGCATAGGTAGAGAGCCAGCGATGGCAAGTTAGTTGAAACTTGAACGTCAACAAAGGTGAGGCGTTTAAACGTTGTGCTCAGGTGCATATTTTGGGGCGAGGCGAAGGGCAGCTAGGCCGTGATGGCCACTGTGACGCAGAGGTTGTCACCTTACGCGTGACGACAGTGGGTGACGACGCACAACGCTTCTCCTTGTATTCGATGCATTGCTTCAAGAAGGAAATGGAATACGCTCCTTCGAGGGAGGGCGGGATTTAGCCCTTTGGGACGAGCGGGAGACTGCGGGGACTGGTGTAGAAAGAGAGAGGACAGGGAAGGCAGGCAAAGACAATCTGCACATAGGAGTGCATGCACCAAAAGGTTTGTAGAGGGAAGCAACTCTGAATCCTATAGCCGGGACTGCGAGACGCGAGCAAAGGGCAATTACTACGCCGGTGCGGTGCCAACCGAGCGTCAGATGCCAGCCCACAGATGCAAATATCCCTCGAGATGCGGTTCGTCCATTGGATGTAAGCCTATTAACGCCGCTGCAGTCGCCACAGTTCATGGCTGTGGGCGCAAGCCAGTGGCGGTGGGATGCGCGGCGCGAAAGTGGGTGCCCTATGGGTAGTTGAACACATAGGACTAGGCCATGAAGTACTTTGCGATCGCCCCGTGTTCGGATTCGTACCATGTCGGGGCGCACTATTCGGTGACTACAGCGGTCATCTCCCTGTCATTCCACAGGCCGTGGTGCACCCTGTCGTAGAGCCTTGCTGCCTCCGCCATAGCTTTTAAGAATTGGGGGTATCGTATGGGTCCCCAGGGTCCTGACCCAAGCGAAGGTAGCTCGTGCGTTGGGGATTCGGGGCTCTACCCTGCACCGTTCTCAACTATCATCTCGGGGCTGGCAACGCCCATGAGCACCATGCTTGTGCAATTACTCAAAGGCCCGCGTGAGTGGCGAGCGTGGTATTTCGCAACAGGGAGATGGTCTGGCTGAAAGGGCTGGGTAGCTTCCGAATCGCCTGCTCTTTTACCCCCTTGATCCGGGACAGCAACCGGTTGGGACAGTTGTAATAGCTCACCGTCGAAATTTGATCCAACTTTCTACCGTCAGGGCCAGCCGAATCACACTGGGATGGCAACCCAGCCCCGGGCGAAATGCTCGTTAAAAGAGTGGTACGCCCAAGTCGACGTCGCTGCCAGCAACCGTGGTATCAGGATGCCCCCGAGGGCTGTCTACGCAATAAGAACAGCTGGAACTCGGACCTCGCATCGCGAGGGATGTTGGGATGCAGGGATGTAGGGACGATGTAACAGCAAGAGAGTTGGGAGGCGTTACGTTTGCTACAGAACGAAGGGGAGGAAGGAATGCCGCGAAGGACATGCAGCATGCGCCTGGGGACGGCACGGGGGACCGGGGCGAGGAAGGAGAGAATGCACAACATCTTCCGAAGCGTTGCTTCAATCATGCTGTGAGGGATGGCTGGTGAGTGTGGTGGGACGGGAGCCCGTAGATGCAGCTACGAATGCGATGTGAGCGATGGGTATGGGGATTTGTGTTGGTGCAGCGGGCGGTGGGAGTCTTCCCAGGGTCGTTGGGTTGGTGTAGTGGGAGGGGCGCGACGAGTTTCTACCCTTCTTCCTTTGCTGGCAAACCTTTTCGTGCGAACGAAACGTTTGAAACGTTTAACACCTCTATTCTTACCAATAAAGACTCTTACTACACTGTACCGTACATGTGAAATCTAAACCCAGTTCTTTAATATAACATTCACCTGCGTGCATAAAGAAGAAGAGAAAGAAGAAACACCAAACCGCATTTTCAGATCGCTCTTTCTTCTGCCTATATGTCTGCGTGTAAACCGTACCTCTGGCGTGCTTGACCCGGAAGGCCAAGATGGACGTCCTGGAACGTGAGCAAAACGTCTGGGTGCCAGTCCGTTGCCTGCACGGCAAAAAAAGAAGAAACAGTGCCAGTGCGTCGTGTAAATAGGAAAGAAAGACAAACAGAAAGAACGAAAAGCGCCGAAAAAACAAGCGGTGACTCGCGTTAGCAACAGCATCTCTCTCAAGCGCTGTTGCGGTAAGTCTCGCAGGCAAGGAGGCCGCCCATTTCACATATGTTCTTTGGTGCGGTCGCCGGGACGCCAGTGCGAGACTTACCTTTCAAAAGAGAGAACTCGTATTCGTGAATCACGGCCCAAACAGAATGGAAGCCGAGGTTGAAGCGGTTGTGTCGGAGGTGTCTGTGCGGTCAGTGCGGTCGGTGCGGTGGGTTAAGGTGGATGTCGGGAAGGGAAAGGGAGGCGCACAGTCCGGTGCATCACGTGTGTTTGTTCTGTTGATGTACAGAGGTGCATTTGTCTGAGGGTGGAAGTGAGAGTCGACATTTATCGTAGGAGAGACAGACAGTGAGTGGATGATCTGACGTGCGCATGAGCGCATGAGCGCATGAGCGCAGGTGAGATCGTGATTCAAGCATGATTTCTTCAAGCATGATTTCTGCCTGGAAGGACCCTCGGTGCGTGTCTGCATTTGTCAGTAAGTGTGAAACGTGTTTTCAGCCGGTCATCGATTCCAGATTCCGGGTGTCTTCCGCTCCCGATCCCGGTTTCTAGGGTCCGAAACCCCTCGACAAATGACGTCACTGCGCGCCATACGGGACAGATCCAACCAATTA